AAAAAAAATACTTTCGATTTAGGATCCCCGTTTGTGGAATCGTCTCGGTGCCACTCTGGCCAATGGCGATCGCACTGCAGAAGCTGTTGCAGCTTACAGAGAAGCATTGCAACGATATCCTATGTACGTTCGAGCACGATATAATCTTGGAATAAGTTGTATGCATCTGAATAGCTATCGGTAAGTTATTGAGGGGTTTTATCCCCTGCATAAGCCATCGCAACCTGATCAGTTCATTTTACAAAGTGCACTTTTTTCAGAGAAGCAGTAGAACACTTTGTCTCAGCCTTAGAACTTCAGAAAGGTGGATCGGACAGCTCATCCATTTGGCCAACGCTGAGGTCCGCCACAATACGTATGCCAGATGCTCCAAATGAAATACTGCCAGCACTGGATCATCGAGATTTGAACGAGTTCAAGGCAGCAATGTCCAAAATGCGACCTTTATAACGCTGCTCTAATAACACTAATTTGATTTGTTGATACGGGATTTTTTGAATATCTTAGTTCCTATCCGTACTATCCATACATGTTTACTCAATCAATAAATGTGATCAAAACCAATTTATCGACATAGAGGCGTGCGCTCCGCCCATTCACGCCTTTTGACCAATCAGGTTCTTGTCACAAACGAAGATAAATGCATTGTAGCGATTATTCTCTACTGTTCACTTAACTAAATACGACCAAATATTGCGATTGCAGCTGATTCATATGGGGGAATTTGGTAGTAATTTAATTTAAAAACATCCATTCAACTGACCGTAAATCATCTGAGCAGGCGGGAAGTCTCTCAGCACATGATCTTATGTTGTTGATAGATGTTGAACGTTACATAGATATGCAATCGACAGGTGGTTGGAAAACCTGGAGGCACGACATATCACATGAATCATGGGCGCCTGAGGCGCGAAACGCTTTACGATTAGCGGCACAACTCGTCCACAAAGCCTATTTATCTTGCACCTAGCGCGCCTGTCTCTATCTTTCACCCTGCCGCTAACGAGGTATTTCTCATTGCCTCATCCTCATCCTACCGCTATAACAATCATATTTATGGATTTAATTGGATTTTTAATTGATTGATAGAGCTAAGAGTTTTCATGCACGGACTGTAGAGGTTTTGTTTGTGTGTTATGGTCGGGGTACTGTATCGTATGTGGCGCGGGAAAATCACAATTTTCTTAAGTTTATGGCCGTATAACGCTTATTGCTTTGCCCCAAGATAAATTTATTGATTTTTTAAACTCGAATTCCAGGTGCGCATGATTTTGTTATTACTTGCCTGTCTTTACTGTGCAGCACCATCGTCTACAAAATCACTGCTCCATTTTTATGGTCCTTCAGAATATGGTGTGATCCATGACGATCGGCCGGCAGTTCAACACCGTGTTGACGTAAAAACGACTATGAAATCATCGATTGATGAAGTAGTTGCACTTAATTTGCCCCAAGCCATAGACAAAGACGCTATTGCTAAGCCTAAGGATTGCAGTACAGAGGAGAGAAAGTTACCCATCCTTAGAGCGGAAGCGGAAGCAGAAGGGTTAAAGCCTGCTGTTCAACCGCAACCTAATTACGTGTTGATGGGCTCCACGGACCAACAGGTGGAACCAGAGCGACAAATTTTGCATGCGGCTGAAGTACTGGATGTCGGTCAGACGGATGAAAGAAGGCAACCTCAAGGTGGTGTAGTTCTACGCAATTCTCTTACGCATGCGGAGGTGATACCCACAGATGTTGCGCCGGCCATTGTCACGACAACTACCACAACAAGCTTGCCTACATCTGTGACAACGTCACACGAACCAATAGCTTCAACAGCTCATGTCACAGAAGTGCCCTTTGTCGAGAAGGTTGAAGATAAAGGAGGCGATTTCGACGTTGCGGACGAGTTGCCTGCTGCGAAAACCTATGATGTCAAAGAGATACTCCCAAATATGGCTAAAAATAATTTACCTGCAATCAATAAAGAGGAAAGTGCCGCAGAGGTTGGGGCTAAGGCAAAGCCCACTATTTCTCCCTTGGATCATAAATTCAAAGAGGATGAAGAAGACTCGGATGTGCTACCCGAGTTTGACGAAAAAGGAGACGTGGAGTTGGAATTCCACGATGAGCCCGATACCAGCACTACATCAGCTACAGAGATCGTTACGTCACCGACTACTCCAAAAGTCACGACGTCTCCCGTAACAGTCACGACGTCTCCAGCAACAGTCCCGACGTCTCCAAAGACAACCTCGCTCTTAATGACAACGACCACCGATACTGAGGTCCAAGATGTGATCATTTCATCAGACAAATATGATAAAGGTACGGTAGTTTTGAAAATCAGTGAATCGATTGCGTTGGTCCATGATAGTATTTACAATTCCAGAATTATTGACTGAAGATGAAATTTACGACCTTCTTATGTTCCTCGTCACCCT